AGGGAAGTAAAATTATTAAGAATATTATTCCAAGAATTAAAGAATAGCAGTCCAAAGACCATGTAATGGAGCACACAGTGCTTAATATAAAGTGGCCACTGATAAGACTATAAAATAATGAGCATTCTCTTTATGAGACATCAAGAAATTCTAGCAGGTACAGAAATTGATGCTCTCGTACATAACTGGTGGGAATGCAAGAATGGTGTAACTACTTTGGAAGTTTGTTAGCTTTTGAAAAAATTCATTACATTTTACCATAATCATAGTTGGGTATTTGTGATTTTAGTGGCTTAATAGTTGCCTCTTCCACTGGAATGTGATCTCCATTAAATGTGAGGACATTATGGATGAGTTTTTTCATGACTGAAGCTGGGGAAGAGAAAAATGAGCTGAAATCCAGTAAAGTGACAAAAGGTGGAAGAGGGAAGTAAAATTATTAAGAATATTATTCCAAGAATTAAAGAATAGCAGTCCAAAGACCATGTAATGGAGCACACAGTGCTTAATATAAAGTGGCCACTGATAAGACTATAAAATAATGAGCATTCTCTTTATGAGACATCAAGAAATTCTAGCAGGTACAGAAATTGATGCTCTCGTACATAACTGGTGGGAATGCAAGAATGGTGTAACTACTTTGGAAGTTTGTTAGCTTTGGAAAAAATTAAACAGGGAACCAGCAGTTAGCATAATGGCTATGTCGCTGGATGCCCACGTAGTCGACCGCGGTTCGTGTCCTGGACCCGGTGGCTTAAAACTCAGGCCAGGCGCGTGTGCGTGCGTGCCCAAGATCCCGAGAGGAGAATGGAGGAGAAGGGATTGCGGCGTGACCATCCCCCCTGGGGGGTGATTTCTCGCTTTCTGTCTCTATGTCTCTCTCTGTCTGTCTGGCGAGCGCACGCGCCCTACAGTGAAAATCTCTCCAAAAAAAAAAAAAAATTAAACAAAGCACCTAACTCAGTAATCCTACCCTTAGATATGTGTCTAAGAAAAATGAAAACATATGTAAATAAAAACTTGTACATGAAGGTATGTAGCTGCATTATTCATAGTAGCACCAAAACGGAAACAACCCAATGTCTAGATAAAACGTGGCATATCCATAAGGGATATTATTCAACCATAAAAGGGATGAAATACATGCTGTAATATAGTTGAACCCTGAAGATAGTCTAAGGGAAAGATGCCAGGCATAGAAGGCTATAAATGACATTTCATATCATTGATCTGAAATGTCTTAAATAGACAAATCCAGACAGAGAGCTGATTAATGCTTGCCTCATGATGGGGGAGTAGGGGCTGGGTGTGAACACAACTGGGTATAAGGTTTTCTTTTGGAGATGATGAAATGTTTTATGTTTACATCATGGTGATGGTTGCACAGCTCTGTGACTAGACTTAAAAAAACCCCACTGAAATGTATACTTTTTTTTGGGGGGGGAGGGAGAGGTTTTCGCTATAGGGCGCGTGCGCTCGCCAGAGAGAGACACAGAGACAGAAAGTGAGAAATCACCCCCCGGGGGGTGGTCACGCCGCAATCCCTTCTCCTCCATTCTCCTCTCGGGATCTTTGGCATGCATGCACATGTGCCCGGCGTGAATTTTAAGCCACCGGGTCCAGGACGCGAACCACAGTCGACTACATGGGAGTCCAGCGACATAGCCATTACGCTAACTGCTGGTTCCCTGAAATGTATACTTTTTTTTTTGGAGAGATTTTCGCTATAGGGCATGTGCGCTTGCCAGACAGACAGAGAAAGACATAGAGACAGAAAGTGAGAAATCACCCCCCGGGGGGTGGTCACGCCGCAATCCCTTCTCCTCCATTCTCCTCTCGGGATCTTAGGCACGCACACACACGCGCCTGGCGTGAGTTTTAAGCCACCAGGTCCGGGATGCGAACTGCGGTTGACTACATGGGAGTCCAGCGATATAGCCATTACGCTAACTGCTGCTTCCCTGAAATGCATACTTTTAATGGATGCATTTATGATGTATTATATCTCAATAAAAATAATTTACAGGTAAGTCTTGTTACTCATGTAATTATTATGTTCTATAAAGTCGTTGCAAACACTGAAGGACCATTGAATCGCTGTTTCTAGGGAAAATCAGTTAGGTTCCTGGGAACCTCTGGTCACATTTCAGTCAACCCATAACCTTGTCTTATGTGTTTGAAGACTATTTGTGTCCCATATGGGGCCTTGGCTGGGAAGGCGTGCTTTGGGCCACTCCCACTTTTCACTGCTCTGTACCTACTGTGAATGACTGTGAAAGTGCCAGGAGTGTTGTGGAGTTACACATTCTAGCAAGTAGGTAAATTCAAAACCATAATCTGTGAAGAGAGAGGATATGGTTTCAGTTTTTCTACTAAAGGGTTTTTAAAAAAGTTTAGAATTTCAAGGTCTAAATGCCAATCTCTTCATTATGATTGAGTAGATAAAATACAGTATTTGGGATTCAGAAGTGGCTCACAGGAAAAGTACTGTTTTAGAGGCCTCAGTTATCCTTAGTTTGTTTTATTCCTTCAATATTTCTAAACAACCATTCCTAGGGCTACTGATTCCTAGGGCAAGGGCCAGTTCAAAAGTAAAATGTTTAGGGAACCAGCAGTTAGCATAATGGCTATGTTGCTGGACTCCCACGTAGTCAACCTAGTCAACCGCAGTTCGCGTCCTGCACCCGGTGGCTTAAAACTCATGCTGGGCATGTGTGCATGCGTGCCCAAGATCCCAAGAGAAGAATGGAGGAGAAGGGATTGTGTGTGACCATCCCCCCCCGGGGGGTGATTTCTCGCTTTTTGTCTCTATGTCTCTGTCTGTTTGGCGAGTGCATGCACCCTGTAGTGAACCCCCCCCCAAAGTAAAATGTTTATACTTCATCGACAAAAGTTTACTTTGAATTTTGATGACAAATTCAGGCCCTCTCTTCCCCAGAAATTCCTCTGCCACCTTGGGATATAATTAAAAGGTATTTCAATTTTCAAGTAAAATACTTACCTAGTTCTGCTTATGTCCAAAATCTGTACTGCTACTTTCCATGTATTTGCAGACATGTTTTCACATATTAGCTCTATTGCCAATTTTAATTCCAAAGTTTTGCAGTATTTATTTTCAGAAGTATTTTCTGCATTATATTAATTTTAGAATATTTTTCAAGCCTCCAATCCTCTTAAAACAGGAAATGTCAATTCTTCCTCATACCTTTTAAGAGGCTTTTGCCAAATTCAGAAATTTAGAGATAACGAACTGTTTTAGGTTCTATGTAACATACTTTCGGCAAGGGGAGCAAAGATATATATATATATCAAATGACTAATACATATCCATGCTTGTGAATCTGAATAAGCTCAATCAAATATCAGAATTTGGCTACAAAGTGGTACTTGGATCAGTATTTATTCCCCTTTCTCGGTAATCAGTGGTTTTGTTTCTTTAAAAAGATGTTCTTTGATTGCAATTGGTGAAAAAGACTGATTAACTTGAACCCCCCAATTAAAACAGTGAGGGTGCTTGGAGATACTCTTCTTTTATTCATCACTTTGAGAACTGGAAGCTCTGAGATACTGCGGGGCTCTTCAGCCTCTTTGATCTCTCACAATAAACTTGAGTACAATGGACTTTTTAGGCCTCTCTTCATGTTTTCTCTTAATTCCAATGCCAGATACTCATTTAACTGGCTCTTCCTGTTCAGAAACAAGTCCAACTAGTTTTCTGTGCCAATCCCAGATGTTATGAAGTTTCATCCTTCAATCCCACTATTCTTCTGTATGTAGTGAAAACTCCTCTCTTGGAGTTTTTTCTACTGTCCACACTGGCTTAATCCCCCTCTTGTTTTGAAGTAGATAACCATTAGGGATTAGTGGCCCATCAGCGGGACCTTATGCTATCAAAATGATGGCCCTCTTCATTGCTAAGGATGATCAAAAGTAGTCTATACTTCACCAGGATTTCTTAAATTTAATTTTGATTAGTCAAATTACTCAGGGTTTATATTAATTTTCTTAGCTTTAAAAACAAGATTTAAAATTTTAAACATATGGCATGAATTGAAAGCAAAATACTGGGCCAGGAAAGTTATGACATATTTTCCTGTTTTTCTATACAAAAATGTCATGGCTTTTCTGATGACCCAATAGATAATGGATCTTTATTAAAAATAAGTATCTCAGGGACCAGCAGTTAGTATAATGGCTATGTCGCTGGACTCCCATGTAGTCGACCGCGGTTCATGTCCTGGACCTGGTGGCTTAAAACTCACGCCGGGTGCGTGTGCATGCGTGCCCAAGATCCCAGGAGGAGCACAGAGGAGACGGGATTGCGGCGTGGCCATCCCCCCTAGGGGGGGCGATTTCTCGCTTTCTGTCTCTCTGTCTCTCTCTGCCTGTCTGGCCAGCACACATGCCCTATAGCAAAAACCTCTCCAAAAAAAAAAAGTATCTCATAAACATTCTTTATGTATAGTATAGCTGTTTTTCATAATTTGCCAATATCCTTTAATAAGGTAGTTTAATTCAAAATCAACAATTAGAAAAGTTTCAAGATTGTAAGATTCTATCCTGAGATGAAGCTGACATAAAATGGTATTAGACCAATTTGTTAATAAGAGGTTTAAGGGATCCAGGAATCATTTGGATGAATGAATGTTGGTCTTATTGATCTATCTCTTACAAAGAAATCATTTTGATGAGATAGAAGGTTAAGCAAAGAAAACCCATCATTTTTAATATAAAAAAATCTATAGCATTAAAAGATATATTCCCTATATATAAAATGCCAATGAAAATGCATTCATAACTAAAAGAATTATAAAAATAAAATCATTAGTCAAACATAATGTAATATTCTCCAACAATAAATAATAAATTTTAAGCAGCATATAGCCATTTTTACATTTCTCACTAAAAAAGGCTTATATGAAAAGAAAGTAAGAATGCACTGAGACACCTGTTATTTGTAAACATACAAGGAAAAGCTGAAAGAATTTCACATTCAAATATACTTTTGAAACTTTTAATTTATATTTTGGTCTTACAAATTATTATTTTCAAGTGGACTTTTCTGTAGGAACGTTAAATACAAAAATTTGCCAATTATCGGATCCACACAAATCCCTAGAAAGGTTTTCTGTGCAGTCTTCATTAACGCAAATCTTTGTGAATGTTTCCCTCTTACCATAGATCTTGCATGTGTCTCACAATAATGAAACTACAAAGTTTTATGCAGTATATTCACTATAAACTATAACATTTCTATTAAAAGAAAAGCTGGGCAATACAAAAATATGAGAGACTCTGAGGAGCAGGCAATCTGTTGAGGCTCAGTATGTCTTATTTGCCTTGTAGTTTTCGGTCATTATTTTCAAAGAGCACACGGCACAAGAGGCTCAGTAATCATCTCCCTTATTAACCTCCCTAATTTAAAAATCTGTTGTTTGTAAAACTGGACCAATTATCACAAACTATCATTTACATAATTAACCACAAGTCTGTTACAAAGCATTTTTGTTAACGGTCCCAACACATGCAGAAGGATGGAAATTTATAAAAAATGGGCTTTGTTAGGTTTGCCAGCTCCTTAGATATCACGGGCCGTGCTGCCACTTCAGCTTCCAATTAGATGTTCAATGCCTCACAGTAAAAGACAGATCAGTGGAAGCAAGCATAACTAAAATTATTTTCTAGGTGCTGTAAAATTTCATTTGATAAGGTAACAAAAGGACAAGACAAAATGTAAGCAACGTTTATAAGCGCTCCAACTTTTCACTCAGGAATTCTTCTACACTGTCTGTGTTCCACTTAAGGATGCTTAGTTCTTCAGCAATGTTCCCATTGTCGTCCAAAAGCTTTAGTACAGGGTCTGAACCGCGAACATACTACAAAAGAGAGGGACATCATTATTATTTTCTGCTTAAAAAGAACCTTCTCAGCTGCAACCCAGATCAAACAATTCAATCCAGCTTAATTAAATTGTATAGTAATTAAATTAAAAATTTGTAGACATAACATCACAACTGGTGCTTTATTTTTTATTTGCTACTCAGCAGAAAGAGTCAGTGAGAGAAAGAAAATAACAAAGCAACTCATGGGAGGAATGGCCACATCACAATCTCTTCTCCTCCAGTCGTCTCTCAAAATTCTGGGCACACATGCACATGTGCCTGGCATGTTTTTCAAGTCACTTGCTCTGGGACTTGAATTGTGCAGTTTAACATGTGGGATCTAGCTGCTTTAATCACCACACCACCAGCTGGCCCTCAATCAGTCTTAAAGAAAGTCTTTTTAGCAAGAGTTTAATGGGATTTTACAAAAATAAGAATAAAAAATCAGATTTTCTTTCCTTTTTTTTTGAGAGGTTTTTGCTATATGGCGTGTGTGCTCACCAGAAACACAAAGAGAGACAGAGACAGAAAGCAAGAAATCACCCCCACGGAGATGGCCACACCACAATCCCCTCTCCTTTATTCTCCTCCTGGGATCTTAGGCATGTACGCACATGCACCCAGCGTGAGTTTAAGCCACCGGGTCCAGAACTCAAACTGTGGTCGACTACATGGGAGTCCAGTGACATAGCCATTATGCCAACTACTGGTCCCCAAAATTAGCTTTTCTTATTAATGAGAAAAATTCTTGTTGGTATCATGACTGTTTATTTGGAACTTAAGCTTACTATTGAAAGCAACAAATACTTATTGTACATGATACTCTCAAATTCAAATAAGCTTACAATTTAATGGAGGAAGTAGATGAGTTGGAAATAATTAGTAAGAGAAAATGATGGTATAAGAGCAATGTTTTAAAATAGGCTGTGCACGTTGATATCAACAAAATAATGATAAAGTTTATATGGACAGGTAAAAGGTCCAGAATAGCCACCAACTCAATTTAAAATAGATAAACAAAGCTGAAGGACTGATACTACTTGAGTTTAAGACTTACTGTAAAGATACAGTAACCAAGAGAATGTGTTATCAGTCAAACAACAGACTACTAGATTAATGGAACAGAACAGAAACCCACTTACAGTATATACAAATATGGTCAACTGGTCTGTGATTAATAAGCAGAGGCAACGTAATGGTGAAATGACAGTCTTCTTAACAAATAGTGCTAGAACAACTGGAGATCCACATGCAAAAAAATGAATCTAAATACAGGCCTTAGACCTTTCATAAAAATGAACTCACATTGGATCACAGACCTAATGTAAAACAAAACAATCATAAAACTTCTACAAGACACATAGGACAAAACATGGGGGGAGGATGATAGTGATTTCTCTCTTACTGTCTCTCCTCTCTGGTGAGCGTACATGCTCTACGTCAAAAACAACCAACCAACCACCAAAAGATTTAAACAGAGATCTCACCAAAGAAAATATGACAAGTAAGCATATGGAAAGATGCATAAGCCATACACCATTAGAGAATTGCAAATTAAAACAAGATGCTAGGGTGGCCCTAGAATACACTGGTTAAGTGCTATGCAGAGTAAGCCAGACCCCTCACAGCCAACCAAAGTTCAAGTCCTGGCCCCATCAACTTAGAACACATACTAGGTGGGTAAGCATGCGCAAGATCCTGATGGGATGGATAACTATAAAAAATGGGACTGCAGAGTGATTAGCCCTGAGTGTGTGTGTCTGAGTGTGCACATATGTGGTTTCTCTGTCTTGTGCATATGCATGTGCCCTCTGGTCAAAAACAAAATCAGGGGTCAGCAGGTGGTGCAGTGGTTAGGGCAGTGGACTCCCATAAGGTCAACTGGGGTTCAAGTCCTGGACCTGGTGGCTTGAAACTCATGCTGGGAATGTACGTATGTGCCCAAAATCCCGAGAGGAAAATGGAGGAGAAGGGACAACGGCACGGCTTTCCCTTCTCAGGAGTGGGAGGGGTGGATGACTTCTTGCTTTCTGTATCTTGGGGGTAGCCCGTGAGCTCCATGGCAAAAATCTCGCAAAAAACCAGAAACAAAACTACTAGTATATCACTATATACTTATCAGAATAGCTAAAATCTAAAACAGTTTCTGTTGCTGGTGATGATGTGGAGCAACAGAAACTTTTATTCACTGCTAGTGCAATGCAAAATTATGCAATCTCTTTGCGTGACTTTGTAATTTCTTGGGGCTAAATAATCTTAATTGTATGATCCAGCAACTGTGCTCCTGGTTATTTTTCTAAATGAGCTGAAAACTAATGTGTAGATAGGAATTATACATAAATGCTTATAGCAGTTTTGTTCAAAATTGATAAAAACTGGAAGCAATCAAGATGTCCTTCCACAGTGAGTGGAAAAATAAACTGTGGTACAATAGATTATTATTTAATGATTAAAAAAATGAGATCTACCATATTATTTCATCAGTAATAATGCTTTCTAGGGACACGAGTGTGCAAATATCTTTTCAAGTCCCTGTTTTTTTATCAGTAATAAAAATAAGTGTATCATGGTGGTACACAATCATACCATCTGGAAGACTGGAAGCTGATTGGAAGGCCTGGGTTCAGTTCCTAGGCCAATGTGAACAAGCTGTGTGTGTCCACCTGTAATCCTAGCTAACTGGGAAAATACCTGTCTTTTTTCCCCTCTCTCTCTTTAGAAAAACAAATAAAAGAAATGAGATACTTAACTATGGAAAGGACACTGAGGAACTTAAAATGCATATTGCTAAGTTCAAGAAGTCAGTCTGAAAAGGCTACACATTTTATGATTCCAACTAGAGACAATAAAAAGGTAAGTGATTGCTGATGGTTGGGGGAGAGAGGAACACATAGAGAATAGGAGAGTTTTAGGACAAATTATTATGTAGAATGCTCCAGTGATAGATACATGGTATTATACATTTGACAAAAGTCCTAGTAGTATACAACACAAAGAGCAGTAATGCAAACTATAAAATTTAATTACAATGTATCAGTATTTGTTCAACTGTAATAAATGGACTATATCAGTGTAAGATATATATACAACGGGGAAATCGGGGTGGGGTGGGGTGGTCAGAGGGCTACCTGGGAACACCCTCTATTTCCCACTCAACTTTTGTATAACCCTAAAACTGTTCTAAGAAAATAAAGTCTATGAATGAAAACAATTATTTATTCAAATACTTATTTTAAATAAAAAAAAAAGATAAAAAAGATTTCATTACAATCACCTTACCTTGATTTGCAGTCCTCTGAATAGTTTGGGTTTATCACTCCTGACAAAAGCTTAAACAAGAGAAAAGAAAAATGATTCGAATGTATTCAGGCAAGCTATAATGATCAACATAAGAAGTAGAAATAAACTAAAATGACATGACACATTATGTCCTATGGGGGGGGGAGACAAGAAAATTTAAATAGAGACTGATAAATGGAGACACATACCCTATTCTCCGATGGGAAGACTGAATATCTTAATATGTTAATTGTTTGAAATTAATCGAAATCTAAAATTCTAGTGGGATTTTTAGAGCTTGACAAAGTGACCGTGTAGCCCAGCTGTCAGAGTAAACGTGTGAAAGCAGTCAGCAGTTTAAAACAAGGAAAATATGAAGGGAAAGTTTATTCTGTTGTTTATTAATATACTATGTGATACTGGTAGCAGAACAAGTAAAACGAACAGATTAGGAAATTCAGAGAGATATAAATATCTGTAAGAATTGTTTAACAATTATCAAAGTTATCAAAGTAGGGAGAAGAGAGCAAGAGAAGAAAGCAGGAAGGGGGGAAGAGAAGTATCTGCAGTATGTGTTTGTGTATATACAATACATTATCCAATAAATACTTTTGATAGCTGCCAAATTATTTGGAAAAAACGAAAAATAGATATATACATTGTATCTTCTATTTCAGTGTATTCCGGACAGACTAAAATTACAAATTGATTCAACCAATATTTATTGAATACCTATTACGTGATGGTAGAGATGAAACAGATATGATTCCTACCCTTACGGAGATTACAGTCTGGGGAGGAAAGATGCTAAACAATCAATCACACAACTCTCACAGTTATGGAAAGTGCTAACATGGAGAGGAAGGAATAGCCCTACAGCACAGAGACTTACATGATGTTAAATAGTGTGTTCTACAGATACGCCCACATGAAAATTGAAACTTCAGAATAGCCAAACACTACCATAAACAAAATGAAAAGTAAAAATTATAAATCTGGAAAACCATCACAAAAAATAAAGAAAAAAAAAACACTAGAGAAACAGACTTAGGACAGGAACATGTAATGTACAGATATATAAATAAATGGTCAACCAGTATTTGAAATAAACATTCAACTTCACCAATCAAAGAAATGTCAAAATGGCGAGGTACCCATATCCAGAATGGCAAAGATTAAAAAAAAAGTTCTAAAAATTAAGAGAGGAAGCAGGAGGAAGAATTTTGCTGGAAGTGAGTTGTGAGAGGAAATTAAATGGGCATATCATTCCTGCAAGGTGTGAAGGATATTTTACAAAAATGAATCAAAGGTCAAGATGTATCTATTCTTTAAACCTGCAAGTCTACTTCTAGAACTTTCTACATTGTGAGAAAATAACTGATTACATGAAGTACTACTAATAACCAAGTTTGGAATTTGAGAAGAATTGATGTATAAAAGGCTACTGATCCCAATAAATAAACATGCACCCACTACTGAATGAATGCACCTAATCATTAAAAATTATGTTGAACAATTGTTTCTTGGCCTTTCAGCCAAGATCAAGTGTAAAATTATGTTAATCTATATTTAGTGACACAGAAACATAATGTGGGAAATTGATCAGTTTGTTTCCTATGGGTGTTAAGATGAAAGCCCAGTTGTGGTGGCATAAAGGGGGGGGGGAAGGTGCTAGCTGCTATTGGATGAAGCCAGATGGGAGATCTGATTTGGTT